AGTTCCAATTAGGGTCAGCGCCGATCGGACTCGTTTCTGGGTAGGGCGAGGGGGGGTGTCATCACTGTCAACAGCATCATTATCACCAACCCCAAAATCAACAGCATGTGCCATGAACAACAGCAGCAGCATCAACAGCAGCAGCACCGCCATCCACAGCTCTGGGCTGTGGCTGGCGGCGGGCTACGCGCCGTGACACCCATGGGCCAGGACTAATGGACACCCAACAGAACCACGTCTCTTTGGGAGAAGACTTCCAAATCCGCCACGTGTGACACCAGGCCTTCGCTTCCACCTTGAGTTACAGGAGAGTTGCAGATGCCGCGTGAGTGAGAGTTGTCGCGTTAGTGAGACATGTCGCGCCTTCTGGCCTCTAGGGTCTCGCTTTTTGATGTCGGGTGTTGTATATGTAGGGGTGTTGTGGGAAGGTAACACACAGTGTGGGAAGGTAACACACAGTCACACCATGGTGGCTACAACCACGTCCGCTATAGCCCCGCCCTCAGTGGTGTATGGGTATAAAGGGCGGGGAGTCAGAGAGCTCGGGGCAGTGTGTTGGGGCCAAGAATGAAGAACCAGTGAAGAAGGAAGACCGGCTAGATAGACCCTGGGACTTCCCTGACCACTGTCCTTTTGAGGGCAGGCAGGGTAAGCCAGTGGTGTGGCCCCAGAGCCTCAGAGCCGGAGCCCTTTTAAGGGTCGGTCTGGTTGGTGGGGTGCCGTGACCTGTGCTTGACCAGAGCCAGGTCAGATAGCCTCCTCTAGCGCCTGTAGCGGAGGAACTGGGAGCACAGGAGTTAGGCTAGATAGCCTAGGGGGTGTCCCAGCGTGTATACGGGTGAAGGGGCCGTTACCCCTTCCAGTGTAACCCTTGTTAAGCTTGAAAAAGCAGTGCTGCCTGTACTCCACCGTCTCCGTGTTCCGTGAAGCCACGACATTTATAGGCCTTTTTCCAAAATTGATATTAATAATGATTTTGCCAATTTTTATTTAAATAATTATCGATAATAAAAATAAATAAAACACATTCAACCCCGCTACCTCCCACAAGCACCAAGCATCTGGAGGTCGTAAAAGTCCATTAAACAATAATCTCCGGGGCAAAGGGAGGTTAACGACGATCTGAAAAATCTCCAGATTGCCAAAGGACCACATGCCATGACCTGCTTGGCGCTTTGGACAGTTCACAAACAAATATCCAGAATCACAGGCAAGGACACAGAGCACAGGGCAAACGGACATTATAACTGATATTTTTTTTGTACGGAAAAAGTTGAAGTCGACATGATAGACTGCAGTCTATATTAGTGGCTTTATTGTTACTTATTTTATTTCACCCTTATTAAACTCATATATTGTTTCTTATTGTATATTTCTATCTATGTAACTTCACCAAAAGAACCAAGGAATGTGAATTCTGGCAGTCAAGAAAGTGAGGGCTTGGTCATATCTCCAGCCTTGGGATATCAAAATATAACTCGAGAATAAAACACCGATTCCTGGTGACACAGACTTATAACAAAGCTTGGCAAACCCTTGAAATACCGGAGGTAACATCTAATGACATTACAAATCTTGGTTAAACATAAACCAATTAATAATCACAAGAGATTAGACCTAGGGTAACTCAAAAGAGATACAAAAAAATAGGTCAAACACACAAGACCAGAAAATATGTATTCCATGAAATCAGAGCCTCCCCGGCCGCCTTTGTCTTCCAACAATTTGACACAAACACATGGTAGCCATAAATACGTATGAAAGGTGCGTCCCCTCCCTCTTAGCAGACACCACGAAGAGAGGGGTTGGGAATGCAAACAAAAACATAAACTATCAAAGGTCAAAAGGGGGGGGGGCAGCCAGGCCGCTGTGGCCACGGGAGGAGGACGGTGACAGAGGGCATCTGTTGTTTTTTCTCCCTCGCAAGAGACGCGGAGAGAGGAGAGAGAATTTCACATTTAAGCTCGGCTAGGGACAGCTCAGCAAGGAGGAGTGCTGCGAACGACAAGAGTCTTGCAAAGGGGCAGGCTGGCTCCGGGGCATGGCCTCGAGATCAACCATGGGTGTCGTGTCGCAGAGAGAGAAGGGACGATAGTGTTGTTAAGAGCTGAGTTCGGCACGAACCGACAGAGTATCGCTGAAAGTTTTATTCTACATTCATTCTGATGTTTTCAGTCGCTTGCGGGATCGAGGATTACAATAAGCTGTATTGTACTAAGCTATCAGGGTTGTGTAAGAGGTGTGCAAATACAATTTTCAAGTTTTGAGAGTGAGTGATCCAGCCAGCGACGAGCAGCTCACAGCAAGAGCCCTCCTGGAAGAAGGGTGAAGAGCACGAAAGTTGTGCAACGACAAAGCGCAGCCCTGAAGTAAGGGCGGGTGTCCGTGTGAAGCTGGCAGCTGCACGATCAAGAAAAGATCAAGAAAAGAGCAAGATAAATGAGAGAGAAAGAGTGCCGAGCGACGACAAGCAATCAATCTGGAGAAAGGGCGGAAAGCGCCAAGCATCGACCAAGCGAGCATCACAGAGGACCAGCAGCAGCGGATGAGCGACGAGAGCCATCGTGCATCGCCAGAGAGAACGGAGCAGTGGAAAGAGCCTGAGAGCCAGCATAATCTATGCGCATAATTACATCAATTAACATAATTTCGGACAGTTGCGAATTTTTCCAAATTTAATTCAATTTTTATTATTGGTGTTAAATTTTCAATACCCGGCATATACAACACAGGGTCTAGGGGTATTGAGCGGGGGGTTGGGTCGGGCTCTCTGGGGGTTTATTGTTGTGGAACGGAGGGAGGGGACGAGTGGTCCTTGTCTGGCGAGTTCGCTGGCTCGACACCGGTGTGTGTGGGGTGGGGTCCTGCTTAACGGGTGTCGGCACTCGCGCTCTCGCCGGCAGCCCCCTGCCGCCCGTGCGGGGTCCGGCGTCGCACAGCGACTTCGTCGACGCGTACCCTTCCCTTCGCTGCCGACTCAGAGCAAACCTCGCTCTACCCACCTCGCTGTGGCGAGGCTACGCCTGGCGAGCGGCTGGAGAAGAGCCGCGCCGAGCCAAGTCTTCCGTTGGTCGCCCATCTCTTGAGCCGGCCCGCTGCCCGGCTGTCATCGGGGCAACCCCCGCTGTGAAACGACGCGCCACAGCCAGGACGCGTCGGCAGAAGTCGTCGTCAACCCCACGACCCTAACGATCCGCCCGCCCTGGGTTCGATCTTCGGCGCCGTGACCGGATCTCTGCTCGACAGAGTTCCGCACCGGCCAAGGGCTCGTGGGAGCGCGCAGCGGAGCCTGCCGAGGTGCGGCTCTGCGCAGTAAATTTCAACTGCGGCTGTGGTGCAAGACGGGCGGCGTTGTCGCACGTCGCGTCGGCGAACTGAGCTTCGAGGCGGTGTGAGGACCACGCCGCGTCCTGCAAACGATAACGCCGCTGCTGCTACTGCTGCTCGACTCGGTGCAAATGCACTCTCCGAATACTTTGCAGTGACTATTTATGAAAATGCTTTGGTCAGTCGCAGCTGCTTCACGGAGGAACTCCGACCGAGTCGCTGATTTGCGGAACAGGGCGCCGCGATGGTGACGAAATGTCACCTCCCTCGCCTGGTTCGCAACGGGACGTGGGTTCGATGCTGGACCCTGACGATGCCTGTTCTACATTTCGAGTCCGCGTGATCTCTCTCCCTGTGGCGGTCGCGAGGATGTTTATTTGGGGTCCCTGCTCCGGTTTTTCCCTCCACATTTAGAAACAACACGCGTTCAAATTATTTGGCCGCTACTATAAATACCCACGTGCGATGATGATATATGCCATGTGTGGCCAGGTCGCCTCTGAAAACGAGCTCATAGCTCAATGGGCTTTACCTGGTAAATGTTTTAATAAATAAACACACACGAGAGCGGAGGGGTCGGGTCCCTGGCGAGGTTCGCGGACGCGAGACGGAGCTGGCACTGCCGCCGCTGCTGCCCGTAGCCGATCCATAGCTCAGCCGGAGATGACGCGGCTGCAGGTGAGACGCGGGGACCGGACTGGCAAGCAAGCACAACCCAACAACACTCGCCACTTCAACACACAACGGGCTGACGTTTCAGGCAATACATCCTCATAAAGTCATTGTCAACTCGAAAGTTAAGGTGAAGTTGCCCCTGTGGTTTAACCATACACACCCGCTCTTCAATCGTCTCGTAAACAACCCCACTCCCCGCTTATGAGTTTCGCGTGCAAGTGGGGTGGGGCGTCAGCCAGCTGCAGTCACCGCTCCACGTGCGTGCGGGCGGGCGGGCGGGCGCGGGACAGCGGTAAACACAATGGGAGCGCGCGGGGGGGGGGGCAGCGCGCACGCGACGTGCCTCGAGGGGGCACAGCCCCACCCCCCATTTGTGCCCCTATTCCCCCCCCCCGAATGCGAACTCCAGTCCCGTGCGCGAGTGGGGGGGGGGGGGCAGGAAGGGCTCCCGGACCTCCGCGGCGCCGGGTCCCCCAGTGGGGACGCGGCGCACCGGAGGAAGGGGGCAGCGACAGCGAGCGTCGACCAGCGCAGCCTTGGCGCGCAAACAGAGGCGGCAGGAATGCGTGCCAGCTCCTCCTCTTCCTACCTCTTCCTCCTACCCTGCTCCTCCTCCCACTGCCCACACCCACATACTCCTCCCTCCCTCGCTCTCCCCCCCAAGTTTCGGGGGAGGCTCTCCCGCCCTCCCTATCGAAAGCAACAGCTAGGGCTTGTCGCCTGTCCTCTTTCCTCGCCTTGTAAACCCACCATGAGGTTCTCGCCCCCCCCCCCAACACTCCCCTCCCCCTTCGGGCCCCTCCCCCGCCACCGGGACAAAAGACTCCGAGTTGGGCACTGTTCCATGCTCTCACTTGGGAAAGGCGGGGACACGGCGGGAATTCGACTCTGTCGCGCTCCGCTGGGACTGGACTCGAGCTCCCTCGCTATACCCCGAGGGTCTTCTGCAGTCGCGTAAACACTCCTTGGGTGCCACTTGGCGCGCAGAGTCAAGCGAACCCCCGCCGCGAGGGGGCTCGCACCGTTTCGGGATCGGAAGGGGCTGCCTGGGACTCGCAAGAAAAAGGATCTGCAGGGGAGGTTCGTGAAGCCGAGCGGGCAAAGAGCTGCGCATCCGCCCGGTGAGTGAACCCCTCACTTTGATCCGAACCCCCCCGGCTAAAATAGCGAGATGACTTAACAGCCAAACGACCAGTTCCCACCATCACCGGTTTTTTTCTTTTTCCACGTACCAGGCCCACCCTCACCAAGCGCCGCGACTCGTAAAACAAGACAATCCAACGTGAGATTCAACCTTCAAACTTTGTACAGTGCCACAACTCCAGCGGCGGGTTAGTAGCAGTGAACTCTGGCTGGGTCTGAGCCACCCGCTCCCTCCCGCATGTCTCGCGGAGTGTTTTCTATGGGGGGCGGTGCGCTGCAGCATGGGCGGTGGATCCGCTCACGCCGCGTTGTGAGCTTGCGGGACCGGTTCCGTCAGAACCCACGGGACCTCTCTCTCTCCCGTTGGGGACCTCTCTCTCCCGTTGGGGACCTCTCTCTCCTGTTGGGGACATCTCCCTCTCTCTCTCTCTCCCGTTGGGGACATCTCTCTCTCTCCCGTTGGGGACATCTCTCTCCCGTTGGGGACCTCTCTCTCGTTGGGGACTTCTCTCTCTCTCTCCCGTTGGGGACATCTCTCTCTCCCGTTGGGGACCTCTCTCTCTCTCCCGTTGGGGACCTTTCTCACCGAGGCCATCCGCGGTACGTTGCTGTAAATAAGCTTACAGCTGAATGGTTTTTCACCCGCGTGTAAACACAAAAAGGCAACAGTAAATCGTGGACGCAGCCCTGAGGCTGGAGCCGGCAACCAGGGGTCGTGTTAGGTCGCGCGCGTTCCCGGGCGAGGAGGCGCGTGGGGTGATAACGGAGACGGCGAGGGAGATGAAACGAGTGGCGAGCGCGCAGATTCTCTCCTTCAGTAATCGCCCTCGAACGTACAGCCCTGTGCCAGCCGCTATTGGTAGACGGGATTGTTTACCAATACTTCACCGCGTTAGTCGATGCAGGTTGGTGATTGCAGTGGGAGGAGAGGGGTTGGGGGGCTCCTGTTCAGAGACGTCTCGCTGTTGACGTTACCCGTGGCCGTGAATCGAACTCGAGTGACCGGATTCATGGCACAGTCGCGACTCTTAGATAGCTGTATAATACTGCACATAGCCCAGCCGTCACTCATCGCAGCATCCAACCGCCTGCTGCGTTGAACAGGGCCCTGGTGTGTAGTCACGGTGCTCTCGCCAATAACGTCTGGCTAACCCGGCAGTGTGTCGGTGCACCTGACTGCTGATGAGTCCCAGAATGCGGAAACCCGGTGGACACTCTGCGTGCTGAATAACAATGCAGCTGGGTGATTGGCGTGGAAAGACAAGAGGCCGACGGGGTATAGCGGGGTCTGTCCGTGCGCAGGGTTTTCCCCCCCCCCCCCCCCCCCCCCCCCCCCCCCCCCCCCCCCCCCGCGAGATCTGTGGCGCAACTCTCCCGCGCGTTATCGGGCACGATCTACGAACTGAAGTTCCTGAAGCGGCACGCGAAACGTCGAACAAAATGCCGAACGCCCGAATACACGTGGTGAGAGGCAAACAACGTGGGGGGTTTTAAAAAAAAAACAAATATGCGCTGAGAAGTGAACAGAGGCCACGGTTGTTTGGATAAATAATTTACTCGCCGTAGCCTCTGGGGTCGATTCTGAACAAATACGAACTCGCCTCGGCTCTCCCCCGTGCGCCCGGCGCAAGAGGAGGGGGCTGCGGGCAGCGCTTGGCTCCGAGGCTGCGATGGGGCTCGGCTTTAGACGCGCAGCTACTGATTATAATAAACAAGCACCACGCGAGCCTAGAGGCGACATTCGTTTCGAGCAACGGGCATTATTCACGGCGCATACCAATTATATTGAAGTTGCGGGAAGGAGAGCGCGAGCCGCGCGTGCCCTGCGCGGCTCTGATGTCGCGGGGTGGCACGAGCGTGGGGGGCTTCCCGTGGGGGCTTCCCGTGGGGGCTTCCCGTGGCCATTCCAAAACTCGCAATGCTGATGGCGTAGCGGATAATGATGGGGATGACTGCCATGCCTGATGCGGATGACGACTAAGGCCGCAATTATAATATATATTGGGGGGGGGGGACACATCCCCCCCCCCCAATTAAAATATGCTCAAAATGTCCCCCCCCCCCCCAATATATTGCTATAAAATAGATTTCTGTTTATATGATTGTAGTTATGGTTGTACTTTAATAATCACTAATCTCTGCCATTACATACAATTAAACAAGAAAAGGTAAAAAAGAAAAAAACAGAGCAATGTAATACAATACACTGAGACATTGTAAAAAATAAAGTCCATCCTATGTGTTAGTGAATTTTTTTTTATATTTTAGGCATGAAATAGCAGAAAATTCGTTTTAAATTTTAGATTTACCCCCCCCCCCCCCCCTAATGTTGACTCCATGGCTACGGCCTTGATGACGACTGATGTTGATGTAGTGAATGTTGATGACTATGATGCATGGGGTGATGGTGACGACGAGAATGAAGAGCAGATCCCGCGCAAGGTATATTCGTAGCAGTTCGTTACAAAAAACAAAACCGCTTGCAGGGTGCGAGCGAACCGGACAGTGATGGTGGCACTGATGATGGTGATGTTGATGATGGCGATACTGATGGTATTGATGATGATGGTGGTGGTGGTGGTGATGGTCATGATGGTATTGATAGTGGTGATGTCAGCGCGCCCGGAATGCGGCCCCTGGCCGCAGCGCGGTGGCGTGGAATTCAGCTCCACGCCCCAGAGAAACTTGCTCACCACCACAGCCTTCCTCCCACAGACAATACCCCCCAACGCGTGCTCGAGAAACGCTCAGCGGGGTAACGTTTTAAGCAACTACCCTTCTTTAATTGTGTTGTTTTATTGTTGTAAGGACAAGGAAAAGCGTGTACAGTTTTGAACGACTTTTGGAATTCCCTCCCCATCGATTCCCAAACTCGCGTGAGCCACCAACCCCGATTACAGGAAAAGGGCGTGGTGATGCACACACCCGGCGATCGGGCGCTTGAGGGGCAAAGTGGGATCACAAACACATCCGTGCATCCCCTCGTATGGGTTTATTTCTGATATCCCCAAGCGGTTCGCACGAGCCCCTTTACCTCAGGCCTATGTGGGTTGAACCTGGATGAAGCCGACACCTACCCCGAGCTGACCCGTGTCTCCCGGCAGTGGCGGCGGCATCGGCATCGTCAGCGGGGATCGTTTTCGTCCACGATGGTCGCCGACGCGGGGGAGCGGGCGGAGGGGGCCCCGTCACGGGTGCGCCGTGGGCCCCCGTGCTGCGGACCGGGGACCCGGGCGCGGCAGCTGCTGCACCACCTGGCCCCGCACGCGCTGCTCACGACGCTTCTTGTGCTGTACGCCCTGGCGGGGGCCCTCGCCTTCAGCTACCTGGAGCGCCCCGCCGAGCAGGAGGCCCACAAGAACGCGATCGAGGAGGCCCAGCGCACGCTGCGTTACCTCGTCAGGAACATCATCGACGCGGTCCGCACCAACGCCTGCTGCACCGGTCAGCCACGGGAGGACGCGGCGGGGCGGGGTGGGGGGGAGTTTGCCACGGGGGGCTTGGATGGGATTATCAAGGGGATACCTTAATCAGGGGTCTGGGGTGGTGACACCGCGATGATGCGGGAGAGTTCTGGTGCCGCTTCATGTCTCGCGCTCTACCCTAGGTGATGACTTGGAGAGGCCTTCATCATCCAGCTTGGATTGACAAAGAGCTGTACGTTATTATTTATAAAGATGGTTACTATCTCATCGCCCTTCAATGTGTTTGTGGGCTGTACCACCTTGTGTCATGTCCGTCGTTTTGCTGCACCTGCTGGGAGCTTCTTCAGAAGCTCTTTCCAACGCTGAAGAAACTCCCAACATGCAGAGCGAAACGTCGGACATCGTGCCGGACGACACCCAGCGGTACAGCCAGAACATTCGCCAGAGGGAGAGCTGGACAGCAGCAGCATTGCTACGCCAACACACGGGGGGGGGGGGGGCGGGTAGCGTGCAGGGATGGGGGGGGGTGGTGCAGAGAAACGGGGGGGTAGCATGCAGGGACGGGGGGGGGCCTTCTCGCCTCACCGCCCAGGGCTTTCCTTGCAGGGGAGGTGTGGAACAGCAGCACGAGCGGCGCCCTGGAGGAGACGCTGCGCCTGCACCTGCTAGAGGCCGGGCTGGGCTCCACGCCCCCTGACCAGGCCAAGTGGAGCTTCATGGGGGCGCTCTTCTTCTGTTGCACCATCTTCACCACCATTGGTGAATGCCGGCGCCGACCAATCGGCCCTCGGCCACAACTCTCATTGTTTATGTTCACTGTTGATGTAGAAGCGAAACAAAGTCGTGGCTGCGGATCCACAATGATAATTATTAATTACACTGATTGTGGTAAACGACGTTGTTGATGGAGACGATTAAGTCAATTACAGTCACCCTGGACAGTGACACCCTTGCAAACGAGACGTTCCAGGTGAAATATTTTAATTTTAAACAATACATAAATTCCACGGTCATGAATTATGGCTCCGATAATTAATCCAAACGGACAATAACGACAACTGACCAATCACTGATGGCGATTGATGACGAACCTCTCTCTCGCCCTGCCCATCATTCCCCCCCCTCCCCCACATCCCGGCAGGTTACGGTAACATCTCCCCAGTGACGAGCGTCGGTAAGGTGCTGTGCATGGCCTACGCCACGCTCGGCATCCCCATCATGCTACTGGTGGTGGCCGACGCGGGCGACCTATTGGCCGCCGGCCTCACGCGCCTCTACACCACGTGCCGCGACCGCTGCGCCTCCACCCTCGAGCGTTGGAGACGCCAGGAGAATGGCCGCGGTGGCGACAAGAAGGGTGCGCGGGAGCAGCGCCGGTGGCGGTGGGCCCAGAAGCGCCGCTCCCGCCGTGGCGGCGATGAGAGAGAGCCGGATGGGCCCCATGGCGCGGACGGACCTGCGGGAGCCCTCGTGGGAGAGAACGGCCGCACTGAGACGGACGGCCTGCTTCTGTCGGCCAAACCTAGCAATGGCGGTGGCGGCGCGCCGCCCGCTTTGAACACCGCGCCAGACCCCTGCTCGGTGCGGAGGTCGGGGTCCGTGCGCAGTGGCGACCACGTCCTGCTCGAGTACCAGGCGCTGCGGCGGCTCAGGTCGCTGAGGAACAGTATAGCGGCGGCGCCGGACGAGACGTCGCTCATCGGGACAACCGCCGCGCTCCGGGGCCTGCGCCATCGGTCGCCGAGCGACGCCGTGGGGATGGTGGTGGCGCCGGGCGGGAAGTCCGTGGTGGTGGAGTTGGAGGAGTTCGGCGGCGTCTGGGCGGCGCCGTTGGCGTCAGACGGTGCAACGCTCCTCCGCGTCGGCGTGGGGCAGCGTCGGCTGTCGGAGGGCGGCGGCGTTCGGCCCGTGGCCGGAGCCCGGCTGGAGCGCAGCCGCTCGTGGCCTGGCGTGACGGGCGTGGCCGACGCCGCCACCAAGATCCGCTGGATCGGGGAGCTGGCCGAGCAGCTGGATGTGCCGGTGCGGCTCATCTTGGCGACGCTGGCGGCGTACGTGGCGCTGGGCGCCCTCATGATGCCCTTCTGGGAGGAGTGGAGCTACCTGGACGCCTTCTACTTCTGCTTCGTGACAATGACCACAATCGGCCTGGGCGACATCGTGCCCAGCCACCCCAACTACTTCCTGCTCATCTCCATTTACATCGTCTTCGGCATGGCCGTCATGTCGGCCGCCTTCAAGCTCACTCAGGACCGCATCTTCGCGTGCTACCGCCGGCTCGTCACGTCGCGGTACCGCCTGTGCCGCCGTTGCCTGGCGTGCGGGAGTGGCCCGGGCGCAGGGGCCGAGGGGTGACCCCCGCGTGAACTCCGGCGTTCGACCTGGACCCCTCGTCCCCCCCCTGCCGTTAGCCCTGTGGGGCCAGGACGGGGTTTGGATGGAAGACACGAACAGACGTGGCCACCGACAGATTTACAAAGTGCACCCAGGCGCAAATATTTTTACAGAACTGTTATGTAGATCTTGATTTGAAACTTTCGTGACTGCAGGAATCCATACCCTTTGGTTATTTCGGTAAAGAACGTGACATTCGACGTGACTTTACCGAAAGAACAAAAGAGTAATGCAGATGTAGAACGTGAGCCGGTGGCGATGCCGGCAGGAGCAGTGGCGGCGTTTGCTGTGCCCCCACGGCCGCTTGTGCGAGGGCCCCACGGCACTTGTCGTGTTTGGGCGCGACGGAGACCCACACCACGTGCCGCCCTCTCCCGCCCCAGTTGAAAATAGCGGCGAATTAAAAATAACATCAAACGAACAAACCTCATAACCCCATGGGGGGGGGGGGGGGGGCAGCATGGGGAGACATCTCAATTTAGCAGGGCCCTCCTGAAAACATCCTTCAGTGAGGAGGCTCTCCTTGGGTAAATACATGGCACCGTTATTGTTGTTGTTATTGATTTCAGCGACTAGTGAGCGAGTAGTGAGCGATTCGAGCGGTTCATGGTGCGATGGTGCAAGTCCCATTGTTCGGGGGGAGTGCTAGATCCGGGGGCGGGGGGGCCTTGAGCAATATCAGATCTCGCCCGGTGTCGTCATTGCTAACCAGCTTGTGAGTAGCTAGTTAATGAATCGATTGTAGTTATGATTTAAGCTCCGCACGCGACTGCAATAACCTCTTGTTCGTAATGAGCAGCTGCTGTTGACGTCACTCAGGGAGACCCCGTGCGGGGCGGGGGGGTGTGCGGGGGGGTGTGCGGGGGATGCCCCCCTCCCCGCTCCCCAGACCGCGATACTGTCGGGTCGCCTAATTGTGATAACGCTATTTAATAATTATTATAGCGCGGGTAACATCCATCAGCGCACAGAGGATGGAGGGGTGGTGGTTGGGGTAAGGTAAAGCGGAGGGAGTGTCAGTGTTGTCAGTGCGCGCGCGCGCGTGTGTGTGTGTGTGTAACGTTTGTACTGGTGATTTATTAAACTTACGATTTCTACTTTTCGTGCTGCGTGGACCCCGTGTGCTGTTTTCCGTGCGTGTGGGCGAGGTCGACCTTGCTGCGGTGTGTAAACATCGCCACTCGGGAGACAAAGGCGGCCGGGTGTGTTGCTGGCAACCCACCCCAACCATTACCCCCTCGTGTGCCGTTTTGACCTTCACAGTTGCTCGCTAAGATCACTCGGGCCCCCCAACATTCTGGTCAGGTTAGACTTGGTGGGAGGGGGGGGGGCACGTTTGTGTCTCTGTGTGGTCGAACGTGAAGCGAAGTGTGAGCTGTGCCGAGTGTTCGTCCATTCGGAGCGTTGGGGCTGCTGCTTTTGCTGTCGAGTGAATGGGAGAAGTGGAGTGAGTCGGGAGGGAATGTTGTTGTGTTGTGCTCATGAGTGGAGATGTTTAAGAGTCCGGTTCTGTCGCAATTCTCTTTCACTCTCAAGTTTTGCAATAAATGCCCCCACCACCACCCCCACCCCCACCCCCTCCCCCTCCACCATCCCCTCCGTTCATTCATTCCCACAAGTATTGGTTTGTAACGTAGTGCGCTAACCACTGCGCCACCGCTCCCCACTCACAGACCCCCCCCCTTCATCAGCACCCAAAAATCCCCCGTTTAGCCTTAACATGCTTTAAGAACGAGTGCTGTTCGCGAGTAGCACCAATGAAGGCCGGCACGGTACACAGGGCGGTGGGTGGCCAGCACCATGCCCAGTCGCATTTGTCTCCTCAGTGTTGTATGCATGATGAACTTCTTTCGCACCGTACTGGCTACTCAGTTGAGGATGAGTAGAGGCCCAGGACCCGTTAAGATAATCGTCACTGATGTTGGCCGTGAGCGGGAATCGAACTGACGAGGTCGCATTCGTAGCGCGGCGTGCTAACCGCTGCGCGCTAACCGCTGCGCCACCACTCCCCCACCCCCTCCACCACCACTCCCCCACCACCACTCCCCCCCCCCACCACCACTCCCCCACCCCCTCCACCACCACCACCACTCCTCCACCCTCACCACCACCACTCCCCCACCCCCACGACAACGCCGCTGGCGTCGCCACGAGCTAGCCCCCGCATGGGGGGCCCCCTTGTGGCCGCTGGTACCGCCAACTGCCCAGTGTCGCGCGCTTGGGGCATTCCATGCAAATTTGGGAACCCAGCAAGTGGACTCCCGCGAGACCCCATCGCTCTCACCCAACAAACAGCTCCTCTGTGGCCCCGTCACCACACGGCCATCACTCCCGCCCATCACCTCCCATCCCTCATCCACCCACCATCATCATCAACCCGTTCAGAACCACCCCGCTCCCTCCCTCATCAGCCCACGCCATCCGCCTCCCCATGCGGCGAAAGCGTTCGAAATTTTTCTCCTAAAATAATTTTATATTTTATTTATGACTTTAAATTAAAATCGGCATCCGGCTGCGAACACAAGTCACGTGTTCTTGTTGTTGCAAAAGTAAGGAGGGTCATGGCGCATGAAACAATTAACCCGTTAAAACAACGACGGGTGGAGCCGAGTCGAAATGCCGACGATGGCGGGAATGGTGCGGCGTGAGTGCATGGACACGAAGACCTCCTCCTCATCCTCATCCTCCTCCTCATCCACCTCCTCCTCATCCACCTCCTCCTCATCCACCTCCTCATCCTCATTCACCTCCTCATCCACCCCCTCCTCATCCACCTCCTCGTCCTCACCTCGACGACCCCGGCGCGGTGCGTTTCGACTCGGGGCACGTTGGCTTTGCGGGGCTTTGCGTGGATGCGCTTTGACCATACTTCACCACTGACGCGGCAGCCTCGCGCTTGTAAGCATGAATGGCACCGAATATCAAATGTTGCTATTTTGACGTGAGTATAGCGGCCTCTAGTGGCTTACAAGGATCGCGCGATAATCCATTTCACGCAACGATTTTAAATGAATCAAAAGGTATTGATCACACTATTTAGCACACTATTTGTTCCTGGGTACTCAGTGTTATTTTTTAATTGCTTATGCCTAAAAAGTATAGAAAATGGCTATTGTTCCCCACAAACTTTGCTTTTGTGACCAGGACTTTATGTGAACGAAAGACCAATGCACACGTTTCTCATTGAAAACAGTTATTAACGCACGCGGTGTGACGCAAGTATCCCGAGCTTGACGCTGACATTGACATCGATTACCCATTCTCTGCTCCTCTGTATCACCCGGGGCGGCTAAACTCTCGTGGTACCAATCCACGTGGCCACTAAAGGTGAATCGCGTGATTACCGCGTGATTACCGGGTGTGCACGGACAGCCCTCCTGTCAACTGCTGGACGAGGGCCCCCCCCGCCCCCACGCCGTGCGGGTCGTGGGTTGGGTGGGGGGCGGTCAAACTGCCCGTACATGGCCACGCTGGTCGGTGCGAGTTGGTGAAGGCGAGAAGCGTACACCGTGGGAGTTAGGAATTACACAATTCGCTTGCAATGATCCACATACGCACGAGGTACAATATAAACAAACTGGTACCAATAAAGTGTCGGTTTCAGCCCTCGCCCTAACGTGGGACCCATTGGCGTTAGGGTCACGTTACGGTGGTCAGTTCCACCGCGGTGGCACTTGCAGGTCAGTGCAGGGCTAATATTCAGCCAGAGCTGTCCGGGGCTGAACTCCGGAAAAAAAAATATTCCACGAGAAAACGAAACCCTAGGTTCGAGTCGAGTGCGAGCGAGGCAAGAGTTGACCTGGTGGAACTCTGCGTGAACCCGGGTGGACGCGAGGTCGGATGACCGAGCCGGGCGCGAGGTCGCCTGGGGGTGGATGAGATCCTCCTTGGAGCGGATTGAGTCCTTCCGCCTGACCATCGGAGGCTCGAGCGAGATGCGCGGTGGACGAGCGACTGTAGCAGCGGACGCTTTTTCTCCGGGACGGGACGGAGCTGGGAGCATCAGTGGACAACAACCTGGCTACGATCCGGAACTTTAAACTCACTCCACTCAGTGCGGGACTTAAACGAATTGCACCCCAGTGGGTCTACTTTACAATGTGCACCCCAGTAGTCTACTTTACACAGTGCACCCCAGTAGTCTACTTTACAGAGTGCACCCCAGTAGTCTACTTTACATAGTGCACCCCAGTAGTCTACTTTATAGAGTGCACCCCAGTGGGTCTACTTTACACAGTGCACCCCAGTAGTCTACTTTACAGAGTGCACCCCAGTAGTCTACTTTACAGACTGCACCCCAGTGGGTCTACTTTACAATGTGCACCCCAGTAGTCAACTTTACACAGTGCACCCCAGTAGTCTACTTTACAGAGTGCACCCCAGTAGTCTACATTACAGAGTGCACCCCAGTAGTCTACTTTACAGACTGCACCCCAGTGGGTCTACTTTACACAGTACACCCCAGGGGGTCTACTTTACAGAGTGCACCCCAGTGGGTCTACTTTACAGAGTGCACCCCAGTAGTCTACTTTACACAGTGCACCCCAGTAGTCTACTTTACAGAGTGCACCCCAGTGGGTCTACTTTACAGAGTGCACCCCAGTGGGTCTACTTTACAGAGTGCACCCCAGTAGTCTACTTTACAGAGTGCACCCCAGTAGTCTACTTTACAGAGTGCACCCCAGTGGGTCTACTTTACAGAGTGCACCCCAGTGGGTCTACTTTATAGAGTGCACCCCGGTGGGATTTTACACAGTGCACTAAGTGGGGAAAATGTAGAACGTAACACTCCAGGGGAGTTCGTGTGGTCTTGTCTATTCGGTGTTTTTGGTTGCACTCTTTAAATCGTGTCATCATGAGGTGACCGCTGAATGGAAAGAGATCGCGGGGATTTTTCGCGGTGACCAGGGGGAGGCCTCTTTAAGTCTGACACTCAACGCCGCTCGGTTCTGCCCAACAACAACAACGCACGGACAAAAGCAGGCGGCTTCGCCTAAATATACTCTCGATTTGGGAAGAAAAATACGTGTTTTTTTAATCAGTTTAAAATTTATAAAAAGTTTTACAAATAGCAGTGTAGAGAATAACATTTCTTAAATTAAATAGAAAAAAACCGCATTAAATAGAGGCCGCAGTTAACTGCACTAATGTAACTAATGCATTTAAATAATTAAATAATAACCATACATTTGTTTTTTCTTCTACATCGGTCACGTGGTGCAAAAACAAAGCGCGCAAATTTTCCACCGAGTGCGGCGACCTGGGACCACGGGGATTCGACTCTGAGAACGCGACCCCAGGCTCCCAGGTCCCTCTACTGCTCCCTTCTCCACTGGCTCATCTGAGCCGAGTCAACGCGGGGCCCTCGCGGTGCCGGCAGATTCTCCACTGGCTAGTTTCCGTGCCCAGTCAGGACCTGACCGTCACAAGACGTCTGCATCTGGCTCGAGGCCAAGCAGGGCCAGGGGCGGAGCTAATGGCGCGGTCGTTGCGAGCGAAGTCGGTCGGCGCACAGCGGGGAACCACCGTCACGGCGTCATCTGCACGAGTCTCGACTCGCGACTCGTTCATTGCTTGTGATATCGGTGGGACACGGCTGGGCTCCTGCAGTGAATGAACGTGGCGCCTCCTGGGCCGTGCCAGAGCTGGCTCGGTTGTGCAGTGGAAAGAGGAATAACAGTCAGAACCAGACACTGGCCCGACCCCACGTAGCCTGGCCACGGAGTCGCTGGCCTCGCTCCCCAGAGGGGGACCGCGCATGCCACGTGCGCTGCAGTGGGACACGCGCTCCCCCCTTGCTGTAGAAAACAGCACTGCAGCCAATCAGGAGCCCTGACCCAGCTCTATCCTTAACCCAAACCCCAGCCACATCTCTGCACGGTTATTGCGCTGCTAACACCAAACCTGAAAATGGAACGAAAAGTAAATAGGGTCTGGAGAAGCACAGGAAGTTGTGTCTCCAGGGTAGGAAGGGTTAAGGTGAGTGGGAGGGCTGGTTCTCGTGGGTGGTTGGCTAGTTGGTTGGGGGTAGGGCGCGAGTGTTGTTGGCCGTCTTCATCCCCATGACAGTGCAGTCCTGGCAAAGGCCACTCCTCCAATCTG